TGTGATTCTTTATTAACAAAATGGCAAGTGCAAAGTTACATGTCAAAACCCTGACTGATGATGCTGCAAATTGGTTCTTCCACCAAAGCAGAAGACTTTAAATTACTGCTTTTTAAAGGTGTGCTCCCTCAAAGGCAATTAATGTGTCAGTTGTCAGTCAGGATTATTTAATTTCCCAGTGAGGGCTAAGAAAATGGGCATAGCAGATTGATGAACAGAACATGGTGCTGCCCACAAGAGAATTCTAATAATGTTGCTGGTTTTCTACCTTTATGGGGTCTAAAATTTAAGAATTAAAAGTTCAATGTGTCTGTAGTATTGGAAAGTTCTTAAAAAAAAAAAAAAAAACAAACACCAAAACTGAAAAACCTCCAAAAAACCAAACCCCTGAGCTTCCTAGGAACATATTTTTCATAGGCATTGATAACTTTCCCCATGCAAGTCAGAAATAAGCATGATAAAATTGCTATTTGCAGTATATCTGTTTTGTTATTTATCTTTTTGACAAGCTATGTCCTATATAGCCCCTTCTCAGAATGAACAATAGTTCATGTAAAAGCTGTAGATAACCAGTTTTTAAATATTCTTTATGTTGTGATACAAGGCAGTGATTTTAAACTAACACCCTATGCCTTAGGAACATTGTAATGTTCTGAAATCAGGACTCTCTGCATCCATGTTACTATTTTTTTTCCCAGTTCAAATCAGAAGTGGACTTCAGAAGTAAGCCTTCAAGTTGAATCCACTTAAATGCCATTCGGTTCACATTGTGCAGCATTCTCAGAGTGCATCGGCTGGATTCCTTATGGATGAAATTAAATTGGAAAATGCAATCTAGGATGCTTAATGCACTCTGACTGTTATCAGTTATTCAGACCATAAGACTGCATTAAAGCCAGACTGAAGTATGCTCTCAGAAGTGTTAACAGTGTAGACATCAGGTTCCCAACACCAACTCTCACAGTTGAAAAATCCATTCCAACTGAAACACATTATTTGCTAATGTACATATAGCTCAGATCTCTCCTGCAGGTGGTGTTCCACTTGTCATCATACAGACAGTTTTCCAAACTATTTCTACACACATGCAAGGAGCACTGTAATTGAAGTAAATCCAGAGAAGTTGAGAAACACAGATCATGCAGAAGAACTTCGGTGTGGAAACAGTCATCCCAGTTATGTTTTCCTCCTTGCAAGTCCTGATGCCTTAAAAAATGAAACAGCATAAAAATGTAACCATGCCTTTCATTAGGACAAATGCTTGCTGTGTATGCAGATGGGATTTGATAAACCCAGAGGGGTAACTTACAGATAAGCACATGTGTGAGTTTTCTAGAAAAATGAGGCCATATGCAGTATCATTCCATTCTCCGAATAAACATGATCATCAAAATTGCTGTCCTGACATTTGTCAGATTAAAATTTGCAGTTTGTGATATTACTTACATCTATTGTTTTTCATTTTATTGATTCACAATTCAATTTTTCAGCCTTCCAGTAACAAAATGCAGTGTTTCCAAAGATAGCAAAACAGATTTCAGTAATCTCACTTTAAACATCCTAAACAAGCTGAGTAGTTTGAGAAATTATTATCAGAAGAACATAGTGTTCCCTTGAAACTGAAGCTGTTCTCCAGCCTGTCGAGGTCCCGCTGGATGGCACCCCTTCCCTCCAGCGTGTCCACAACACCACACTGTGGAAGGATACCTGAGAATCAACGGACATGTGAACAATCCAGCCTTTCCTGAGAGCACGTGCCTGGATGCGGAACAGATGCGGAACGGGAAATGGACACCATAATGACGTCGCTTCCGGGATGCAATCAATCATACTGGGGGGTGGGCTATTGCCTGTATCATAGCCAATCACAGATTGCCAAGTCTTGTTTAGAAAGCTATAAAGCACGCTGAGCGTCTGCAAATAAAGGTGCACTTGTTTGATCACATTGATCGTGTCAGGTGTCCTCTCTCATCTCCTGAAAATCGTGTCAGGTGTCCTCACTCTTCTCCCGCACATGGCGCCCGAACAGGGACCCTCAGATTCCTCACGGTAAAGTTGCAAGACATGGCAAGGAAGAGGGTGGAAGGTTGACCGAATGATCCACTGCCCCGGTGGAATGAGCTGGAAGGCCGGCCGAATGATCCGCTGCCCCGGCGGAATGAGCAGTGACCTGCCCAGTCACTGAGTGGGAAAAGGTGCACCTGTTTAGTCGCTGGTCGACGCTGGAATCTCGCCTAGAAGAAGTGAGCGGTCAGGGAGACAGATGGGGTTGGATAAGCAACAAGAGTCTGTCGTAAATCTGCTCCAACACATGCTCTCTGTGAGAAAACTTAAATATGAGTCCTTGGCTCTGTTATTGTGGGCATGGAACAAAGAGTTAATCCCCTCAGCAGGAGTCGTTTTTGAACTCTCTATGTGGGAGGCCATAGGCACAGAGCTATGGGATGATATCAGTTCGGGGGGAGCGAGCGCGAAGGAGGCGAATAAACATGCCACCCTGTGGAAGTCAATTAAAGAAATCTACTCTGTGGAAGTTAATTAAAGAAATGTTGTGTACCATGGAAGCCGAACGAACTGTCGCTGCTGCTGCTTTTGCTGCCTTCACCCCCTTTTCTACTGATTCCTCGGCAACAACTATGAACGCTTCCTCTGTCTTTTCTACACGAATTTCTGTGCCTGTACCACCACCCTTATCCCCTACTAACAAAGTAGAAACCGCGAGTTGAGGAGAAAAAGGGAACCCCATAGGGACCATACCCTTAGAAGAGGAACTGCGCCAAAATGGCAACAGCACGTTTGCAGAAAAAGGGGACTCGGAAGAGAAGGCGGAAGAACTACAAAGGGTCGTGGAAACAGGTGGGCCGTCATGTTGACCTAAATCCCACCTCTACCCTGACCCCACCCACAGCTCCGCCCAGTGGAGGAACCTTTGTCACTGCCAATTTCATTGGGAGAACAACAGAAAAAGGAACTATTTGAAGAAGTCTTGCAGCAAATTATGGACAAACTATTGGAACAGAAAACGACAGATGCCGATGACAAGAAAAATCCACAGTATTCTTCTGATACTACAGTCCACAATACACCTAATCCTTTTGCTACGCCGTTATCGCCACCAGTGCCTATATCACACCTACCTGTGCCGACTGCCCCACCGCCCTTTGCGCAACCGGATGAACAAGAGAGAAGCAAAGGATGGAAGGGATTTATTCCTGAAGCCTTAATCGAAGGAAATTTTCTACCGTCTGCCTTTCCCATTATCACAGACCATGGGGGAAATAGAAAATGGGAACCTTTTGACTGGAAAATGGAAATAGAAAGTGGGAACCTTTTGACTGGAAAATTTTAGAAAAGGCACGTTCTGCGATATCGCAATATGGGCTTCAATCTAGTTATACTCAACTGTTGCAATTTATTTTCACAGCAAAATTGCTGTTACCACATGATTCTCAACAAGTTGCTAATATTCTTTCATCCCCTTTTCAGCAGCTTTTGTTTTCCAGGGCCTGGCAACAACTATGTGAACGTGAAGCTGCACGATCTCAGCATATAGAGGGAGATCCTCTATATGGTGTTCAAGCACAAATGCTGATGGGTCAAGGTCCTTTTTCAAATATGGCATTACAGCAAGGGATTTTGGGAGAAGCATTGCAGTCGTCACAACAATTAGCTTATCAAGCAATGGTTTCAATCAGAGAACTGGGGAAAGTATATTCCTTTGCAAATATTAAACAAGGTCCCCAGGAAAGTTTTCCTTCCTTTATTGATCATTTACATCAGGCTGTTCGAAGTCATCTTGATTTGGACGAGACAATGAAGGAACAAGTC